TGGGCAGGAATGGATGGGTTGAACGGGAGAAAATGCATTTCCAATAATTTTTTCAACCAATACATTCATGCCAAGTTCCAGGGTGCTCGGGTGCTGGCACCGCAAACTCTTCGTTAGGGTGGCCAGAATGGCCATACCCAGGCCAGAATGGCCATACGAAGAGTTCCCAGTGAGATGAGAGAGACCTCCCTGAGGGAGTGTCTTAGGGTGTGTCTTAACTTGCCCGAGTTTGCTTTGCTTGCCCGAGTTTGCCGGTCATTTATTAATTTTTTAATGTAAGTACACGCCTTCCCCTTACGTTAGTAGTGGACAGGTGTCCTTTCCCTTACGTTAGTAGTGGACAGGTGTCCCAGAACGACGGTGCTGACTTACAGAGGCATACAGCGCCATAAATTGCCAGAACACAACGGGGAGGACACTGTGGGTTCTACAAATTCGCTCCGAGGACGCATCGACAGGGACGTGACATGCTACAGCGTCAAACAACTTTGCCCCAGGGACGCGTCGACATGGACGCGAGACGCTGCAGCGTCGCTCGCTTCCGACCCAGAACGTGGCCATTGCGGGTGATCCCGGATCACCGGGATAAATAATTGATCTCACCCCTACTTCTCTCCTTACTACTCCGCGGGATAGCGTATCTATCGCCGGCGCTGTTTGGTCAAAAAACGGATCTACAACCACTGCCCAGTATCGCCGTTCGCCTCCCCTCCTTTCTTCTCAATCTAATCACTCCTACGCAATGCACGGCAATGGAATCATCACTGCTACGACCGCGCTAACCGCAACCGTAGCTCTATTCTCCCTCCTTTCATTGCACCAAGCTATTTCAAACTATCCTCGACCCCGAAAATTCACAAAGCCCTTAGATCTCCAACGGGTATGGACCTTTGTCAGAGCCAAAAGGATTTTTAACGACAAAGAATTCAGTCGTACATACCGTATGGAGCGAAAGACTTTTAACCGCCTTCTATTTTTACTACGTCACCGCTTTGATAAGAACAAGGAAATGGCAGCAAGAGCCGGTAGGCAAATTTTGAGTCCAGAGGCAAGACTAGGAATTTTTTTACGTATCATGGGGGGGAGACAGTTTATGGCTGTGTGGCTGCTTTCGAGGTTGGAAGAAGCACTTTCTATCAAGTATTTAAAGAGACACGCTAGGTTCTGAACAATGCACTGGACCTTCTAGGCCTCCCTGATTCTATCGACGGACTACGGCACCTTGCCAACGACTTCCAGCGCTCTAGAAACCCTCCGAGCCGGCTTCCCGGCTGTGTGGGAGCTCTTGACGGTATTTCTGTCCGAATCAAAAAGCCGTCAAAAGACGAGCATCCCGCGACTTTTTACTGCCGCAAAGGAATTTATGCGCTCCCCATTCAAGCGCTTGTGAACTCTGACTACCGTTTTATTTGTTTTTCAGCCCTTTGCCGCGGTTCTACGCACGACGCGCTTGCACACGCTGTATCGTCATTAGGACGATATCTGGAGGATGGTGGATTGGAGTTGGAGTATTGGATTGCAGGAGATGAGGCGTATAACTGTAGTGAATATTTGATAACACCAGTTCCGGCGTCGATGGCTAGCCATGTCGAGGATGCCTTCAATTTTTATCATTCGTCCTTGAGAATGCACGTCGAGCAATCTTTCGGCATGCTAATTAAGAAGTTTAGGATTCTGAAGATGTTGGAATATTCAGTCAAAGACTCTGCTGAAATTGTAGCAATTGCAATGAAATTGCACAATTTCTGTCTCGAGAACAGTGACAAGGCTCGCTTTCGGGTTCCCAGGAGTCGTGGGGGGTTGAGGGAAGAGCGCCGTATGATAAGGAAATGTGGGGAATGGTACGAAAGTGGGAAACAAGTTTATTTGGAAACGATGGGGCGAAAAGGAGGGTCTACGTCAGTGAAGAGGGATATGCTGATAGAGATTGTGCGGGAGGGGCGTTACACACGTCCGGCGGTTGGGCCCCTTCGAATTCCCAGAACTGTGCTGCGAGCCGGGACGTGAAATGGAGCGAGTATCAGTGATGGGACATTAAATTTGATAGACAACGAAGTCGACTCACTTTGTAGGAGTGAATCCCTCCTACAGAGTGAGGGGTGGAGGTGGGAATGACTATAAAGGCCGTTATGGCCTACATTATATGTCTTCAACTTGAAGTCAGTGATATTTGCTGCTGTGGACTCGCCCCTTCTGCAGATGAAATTAGTGGCACTGGAGTAGCAAGCCCGTGTCGTAGCACGTGCGGAGTGCCACCGCAGTCTCCATCTCCCTTTCCTGCCGCTTCCACTCGGCCCGGGCAGCAAGCTAGAAGTACGTCTCTTGACGACTTGCGTGGTGCGCATCAGCCCCATGAACCCGCACGTGTTCGCGTGGGACCACGATTGCATCGACCTGTCCGTGCTCGGCGAGACGGATGACACGTTCGTGGACGAAGAGACTGCGCCGCACGCGTCGCGTGTTCTACGCCTGTCTGTGGTAGCAGACGGCAAGCCGGAGCGCGCGGTACTTCTGTTTGAGGAGCGGCACGAGAACGCGCCTGTAGTATAACCCCCCCTGGGGCTTTTTAGATTAGATCAACAACGGATCCAATACTGTAGAGCCTTGGGCTCTACAGTACTACCGCGCGTGGCCACGTGTACCCCTCGGGTACAGGGCGCACGCACACACACGTGTACACGTGTACAGCGCGGGACGGAAGCGCGCGCATACACGTGTACTGTCAGCCACGATGGCTGACAGTATTACAGTACGGTCGGATCCGTGCTGCAGTAGACCACTACAGTACTTCGGTACTGTAGTGTTATAGGTTGTTTTGTATATTTAATATGGAGCGGACCGGCGGCGGGGGAGGAAGACAAGGACGGACTTGTCACCCACCGACCGTCAAGGTCCGACTTCCCGCTTATTCTAAGGTAACGCTCGCTAATTACCTTAGAAGCGGCACCGAGCGCGGGTTGAGGACGCTCGCGGTACGCCCACGAGCCGGCTCCGGCTCCGCCCGTCGGTACTGGATCGTTACCCAGTACCGCGCCGTGGCGTCGAGGCGTCGAACCGCTCGCGCGTACCGGCGTCCTCCCCGTTCCCGCTCTACCACGCTACCCGGGCCCGCTGCCCGGTGCCGTTAGCTGGTGTCTCGCTTCACCCCCGTCTTCCCGTTCGGACGGGGTCTATGTCGAGCTGTGCATACACCCCTCTTCGTTGGAGGTGTTTATGCTACAGTGGTCTCCCGACCTAGAAGACCCTGGAGTCCGATCTCCGAGAAGACTTCCGCTTCCCTCCGCGAACCGATCGCGTCGAGATGAGCCAAGAGTTTGAGCCCTCGATCCGCTCCGAAGCGGCGGATCTGAGTCCGGCCGCTGTGCAGTCCCCATCAGCCCCGTCGGGCGACGGTGACGCAGGTCCTCGTGACCGCGAATCGTCGCTCGGATCCTCCGAGGAAAGAGCGGCGGCGATGTTCGAACGCATAGCCGAATACATCGAGGAAGTCCGTACTTCCCTTCGGATCGATGTGTCGGACCATGTATACACTCGATGTATGGCCGAACTCCGCTCCCTGCGTGAAGGGAGGTTCGATAGAGTGACGCAGTCCTTAGAGAATCTCCGAGCACTGATCGACGAGTTACACTCGCGGATAGTGCTCGTCGAAGATTCCCGTTTCGCCTCGCCCGGACCGTCCGGGCAAGGTCGCCCTGAGAGGCCGACCTCGGTGAGACGACCCGAGGACCGAACCTTTCCGTCCGCAGAGCAATTGGGTGCGTTCGCGCACCTCTCCGCTGAGCTCGACGCCACCCGTCGGCGTGCTCGTGACATGGAACGTACCATGGCCGAAAGGCTACCCGGTGCCCCCTCGAGAGGGCCCGGTGGTACCGTACCTCCGAGCCCCGCCGCCCCCGAAGGTTGGCGTCCGACTGGTGCCGCTACCAGTCGGACTGCAGAAGGAAGCCGTCCTCCGATAGACGCGAACTTCGCGTCTGAGACCCAAGCCTTGCCGCCTATCGTCGAAAGTAGGCGGCAAGTAGACCGCGTATCGTACGCGGACGAACAGGACCGTGGAGGAGCCGCCCGCGGATCCGGAGAACCGCTGTTCTCCGTCGATCCCCGCTGGGGCGGCTACCCGCTGGCGAGTTACGCCGAGCATCCAGGTCCGGTAGTCGTCCGTACGCTACCGGTTACCTCCTTCGGCACGCTGGGTCCCGCTGAACCCGGGCTCGAGCCGGTACATACGATGATCCAAGAGT